ATTTAAGACTTAAATGCAAAACTGTTAATGTTCAATTTTTAATTAAATATAGATATTGTTGAGTTTTGGAATATGCTTCAGAGGAGAGAGCTTATTTATTATTTATTATGGATTGTTTCCTCCTTCCTCATTGTTTTGACTGTCCTTAAACAAAATCACAAACTTCACAATGAAGTAATTGGGATAGCATAGAAATATTGTGTTGACCACCCTTGCCCTCCCCCTCTTCCCCCAGCCCCTAATGCCTTTCTTCCTTTTCAGTAAAGCGTACAATCAGAAATTATTGTGGTAAAAATCTACCTGGTGTAATAGATATATTAACTATTGGTATTGTAGGTGCCTAAGATACACAGCTTCTTGTTATTATATATCATTGTATTTCCTGCTACTCCCAGCCTTACCCCACCAGGTACAGCCATGTTCCAACTATCTGATCTATACAATATAACAATATAAGTGCAATGTTATCAACTTGGTCTCTGTTAGGTGGACAGGTCCTGAGCTTTCTGTCATGCGGCCATGAGTGCCCTGTTCTTCCCAGGTTACTGCATAGTGCCCAAAGCACAGATGAGAGGTGGAACTTGGCATGAAGGGGTTCATGAACCCATGGAATAGATCCCTTCCACAGTATCAGGGGAAAAGGCATTAAAGACCTTCGAAGTACAAATTTATTTCATTTTAGAAATTATGAGAGTATTTAATCTGTCATAGCACTTCATACTTCATTAGTTTATACAAACTGTGATTTAGGTCATTATTTTGCTCTGTCTTGTCTTTTGTTTATGTAGCAACTGATCATTGTATGGCATCCACTGTACTTTACTGGGTATTGTATCTGGAAATTCAATATGATCAAGTGAGTTTAGATTAACATAGTTTTCGATGCTCTTAATACACCTAACTGAATGTTAAGCATTTTTATATTTCTCAGACTTTACACTTTAGATGGAAAACTTGTTCAGAATGGGTCAGAGTTGGAGAACGGGCAAATTTATGTTGCAGTGGGTAGAGAAAAATTTAAGAAGTTGCCGTATGGTGATCTGCTGTTTAGCAAATCTGCAGTGAGAAGGCCACAGGGGTAAGTTCTATACATGTCTAATATACTTCTCATGTGCTTGTGTGTGTCAATTTTTTTACAAAGTAGCACCAGTAGAGTACAAAATCATCATTCTGAGAACAAAGGGTGGATGGTTGGGTTAATATGGATGCAAAACATGATTGACTGTTACTGAGACAGTTGAGATAACAAAAACAAAAGAGAAAATGGAAATTCAGAAGACTATTTCACCTCATAAACATGCCATTGATCATGTATCACAAAATTAATGTTGAAGAAAGGATTATTTTGACTTAATTTAGGGGTTTGTTGCTGGTTTTTGTTTGTGGATTTTTTGTTTTGTTTTGTGGGTGGGGTTTTTTTGTTTGTTTGTTTGTTTTCCTGGGGTACAAATATGTACAGCTGGATGAGTTTGAGTGGACCTATACCAGTCTAGATCTACTCTTGCTTGGTTATGTTTTGTGGAATACATACTCCCTTAAGAATGCTTTATGTTTGGGTCCATTTTTTGAGGCTATTATTATCACATAATAGAGTCCTGAACTGGAAGTCTGTAAGGAGAAACTTGGCCTTTTAGTATCTTTGGAAAACATGAAAAATGGGAGCCATTTCACTGAAATAAATGAAAATTTGTCCCACAATTGGTGTATTTTGGAGAATTTGTCCCATATTCTGCATGTAAACTGAGGTGTAATTTATAGATTTTTTTTTTTTTTTTTTTTTTTTTAGTGAGCAATTGTAGACAATGTGAACAACTTGAAAGTATTTTGGGAAACAGTATTTGCAACAAATGAATTTAAGGACAGTGAAAAGCTGTGTTGATCAATTGATGTACACAGTTATGTTGAAATTGCTAGAACTTTTCTTTATTATAGTTGTAAGGATCTTTCACACAGTAATTCACTGAATACTGCTGTGCAAATTTTTTATATATAAAGTATGCATTGTGGGGAAATGTAATGCATTTGTTTGAATAAGCTAATGATTATATGTTTAAATATAGTCTAGTAAACAGAAATGAGTGATTCTTAGTAAAAACATGCAATGAATAAAACAATTAACTCTGTGGCCATAGCTGACTTGGTGTTATCTGACTTGGTAATAGATACATAGTGTCTGTGATAGTGACAGTGTACACAATTATAAGATATGGCTTATTTCTGCAGTTCCAAAGTCTCTGTACTACCTCCGATTGTGGGATCTCGTAAGTCTAAAGGCAGTGTAAGTATCAAGTGCCATAATAAAGTTTGTTTCTAATTTTGCTTAATTCTGGCAGATAGAAAGTCCCTGTCCTTTGGGTTTTAATTAAATCTGAAGAGAAAAATTCCACAGCCACCTGGTGGTATGCTTATTAAAGCTTGGTGAATCTGTAGCTATTGGCAATGTCAATTAGACAAAAGAAATCTGAGAAAATATTATTGTAATAATGGCTGCTTTATTTTTTATAAAACCTTCCATAGTAAAGATCAACTGCTGCCTTTGTGTATTTATTTATTTATTTATTCAAATTATACACCTTAAGGAAAAACACAGAACCTTTTATAAAATGTCTTGCAGAAAATGATGTTTCTGCGTGCTGAGTCTGAATAAGGCCATAAACCAGTTTCCTATCTGATGTTTGTCCTAGCTAACCATTAAATACAGAGCTTGAGCCTCCACTGCTTTGTAGCCTGTATAGCTATTTATATGTGTAAAAAATGAGTTCACTGTGGCTTTAAACTATGCCAAATCAGAATATAAATATCTGTTTGCACTAATTATGTACAAGTGCAGTTTACTGTACAAGTACAAGACAGTGGAGAGTCAGACTCACAGTCTGTCATTTTAATTGCAGTGATTGATCATGTCCATTCACTGATTACAAAACAAAAAGGCCTGGTGCCAGTAAACAAAATAAGCAATAAAATATACAAATCTCTGTTGCATTCTGTTGAAATTCAGTAGAAGATGAAACCTCAGTAAAGAACATACTTTCAAGTGATGTTTGTTTTTAAAATGTGAGCTTTGCAATTCTAGCATTCTTAAAAATAACTCATTAACAGTTTAAACTTCTTGCCTCTTCTACTATTACTTAACAGCACATACAGAAAATTATTTGATATTCACTTTTATTCCATTGGGATTGTAAAAAAAGACCAGTGCTCAAATATTTGACATGCTGATAACAAGTGTCAAAACTTGAGGCAGGAATATGCACTACTGCTCTTCAATATCTAATGCAACATTTGAACTGGTATAGATCGTGCAATTGTTTGCTTCAATTTGATATTTACACTTTTTTACTATTGTTACTTGGGAGTAACAGTTTCCAGTTTGAATTAGAAAAGGCTGAAATTTTGCCATGCCCTTATTTCTCTTTATACAGAAACGATAAGTGGTAGTTTTGATGGTATAGGTAGATAAATGATGGATTAGATGGTGAAAGCTAGATGGTATTTAAGGAAGATGTTTTAAACAGAACTGATTTCTTCCAATTATATGACAACTAGAAGAATCACATAAAAATATAATAATGTATGCAGGATTTTGTCCAGGACCTATTTTTATGAATTATTTTAATTTTATATAGGTATTACCTTTTAACTTTAGCAGTGAGGTGAAAATAAATTGTCCCTGACCATTGCAGAATGAAAGGCCGTTCTGGTGGGCAAGTTCTAAAATGGCATGAATTGTTCATGCAGCTACACTAAGCAAAACAATGAAGTAGAATATATTTGTCTTCCATGATTTAGCTCACGCGGTGATAAGGTGAACAGTTCCAGATACTGATAAGGTTTTCTGCCCTATCTGCTTGAGTATTTTGTTGTTATATGGACTGTTTTGACAGAACTGGATTAGGAAGAAACTGCATGTGCTGTTAGACTGGAAAAAGTAGGAGGCTGACAGCCTTTAATGGGAGGCAATGGTGAGGGTGTTCAGTTGGTAAAGTAGTACGATAGAAACAGCACATTAAACAGTTCAGGTTTTTACAATGTTGATTGTGAACAGATTTAGACTGAAGAAAAATCTGTATAAATAATAAAATCTCTGGCTAGTACACCCAGGATCATATGTACATCAGAGCTGTAAAAATATAAGGACCAGGTTTTTGGTTCTGTTTCTAGATACACCACAGAGCAAGCAGAGGAACCGATGGATGTCCTTGGAGGTAATTCAGAGGCAATGTGTTGGCAGACCCCTTTCTAAGCGTCCACTTGGCAGTCAGTGTTACTGCCACATGAAGCCTGTCTTCCTCTTCAGCTGCTTTTGACACTTAGCAGATTAATGCCTATGTCTCATTTACGCATGCAATCAATTATTGAGAAGTTATATATGTTACATCTTGTGACTTTCCACACGTATGCATAGATGAGATATAGCTGTGTATCATATGCGTGCATGTATAGATTCACTTAGCTGTTCTTTTCATCAAATGAAGCGCTATTCCTTATAATAAATGCGTTATTTTCTTCTGTGAGTTGTTGAGGAGCTTTTAATCAGTCGGATCATATAGTAAGTTGATGTGATAGTTAGTTTTCTGGATAGCGTAAGATATTGTTTAAGTGTACTGGTTATAAATTAATATGCTTTTTTAAAACCTGATACCAATCCTTAGTATTAAAAGGTTGAAATAATATTGAAATGAAAAAAAAATAAACTTTGTCGTATTCATCAGGGATAATTACATACACTTCATTTCAGGGAAACGATCGGCAGTCTAAATCTACCGTTGGATCCAGTGACCCAGGAGAAAACAGTTCCTCACCTCAGCCTCCCAAAGGGAAAGACAAAAAAAGCCAGAATCCAGAGGATTCTGTGTCCAGACGACACTTTTCTAACAACTCCACAAAAGTAAAACAGACAGTAAGAGCTTCCACAGGAGTCCTTCAAGATACTGGTCAGTACCAAGATAAACACTATCGTAGCATAGTAGCAGCACATCGTAGCTTTTGATCTTCAGTTAAAACAGTGCAACAGTGGAATAATATGCTTGTATAGTTCTTGAATTGCCCATTTATTCTGGCTAACTGAATTTACAGAAGTTCTTTCTGCTTAAGAAATGTACCTATCTGTAATCACTACATTTCTGGCTTCATTTACATGCCACAGGAGACTGTGTATGATATTTGGTATACCTAGGAAGTTAAACTAGTATGGTCCTATCTTTATGCTTTTGATAAAAGCATAATAGACGACATATTTTGACCATTTTCCCACTGTTCTGCTCAGCAAAAAAGTGAAGAAAAGGAGCTGGTCTGCTCAAAGAACATCTCGCTCTCCCTGAGGATCCCTGGTTAGCTACCTGGTTCTGTATAACAAAATGACTAGACCCTGGGGGAATAACACGAACACAAACTCCAGTTAGCCAATACCTCCTGTGACTAATCATACAGCAGAACTGCTGGAGGCACTTTCAGAATTTCTCCCCCCCTGTGCTGTGACAGCAATTTAGAAATTTAATCATAAACATCCTCTTTGAAAAACTGCTTTTCGTATCTTATGGTGTGATATTTCCCCTGCGCTCCGTATTTTTCTAATGGCTAGAAGACTGTCTCCTCACTACAGATATTGCTGACGTGCTGGGATGGCTATTTTTCCTCATTAGTAATAGTTCCAAAAGTCATTAATACGGGGCAATTAATATCTACCAGGAGAAATAAATTATACTTTTCATAGCATTTGATATTTCTTCTTACTGCTGTTTAAGTGTTAATAATTGTCTGCAATAACAAATCATGGCCTGAAACTTCAGCATATGTCATCCAACAGCACAGTTTTGTACCTCTGCTTGTCTAGAATCATGAGTTGTAAGTTTACTTTGAGTCAGGACCAGGTTTATAAATTTGAGTTTTAAAAGATCAATGAAATATAATCTTTTATAACATAATTGTCTTCTCAAGAGTAAGCTTGTTGAATTTCAGGTTTATTTTAGTCTTGATTCAAATACCATTCTATCCTTTTGCTGGTAAGTGGACATAATTTCAGCCAACTGTTTTTTTCTCTTTTTTTTTTTTTTTTTTTATTTCTTACTGTAGAATGACAGTTATAATGAAAGTGACTGGAAACGTTTGTCCTTTATAACTGAATATATTCTTCTCCTTGAAATGATCATGGTGTATCTCCACTTTTTACAGATTGAGTGATGTATGCTAAAAACGTGTGAGGGAGAGACTACCAGAGCTGACCTCTCAGAAGAGGCCTTGCATGCTTGGCTTACCACTTTTAAAGGCTCAGAATCATTATGTAAGACGCAAAGATACCATGGATACCCTCAATCATTCACATGTTTTCTTTTTTTTTTTGAAACAGATGCTTTGACTTCTGTTGGGAAATGCCAGTACGGAATTCTTTATACAGAGCTCAAAATCCCCATGTTGTAATCTAGTCTCCTGTTCAGAGTACTGAACTGCTCTGAACCTCTACTTATGACTAGGCAGATCTCGGTCAGACCTCTTACATTAAGAACAGCCAAGCCACATAACTTTTTCTGATAGGTATAGTGCCATTATGGTGATTTTCTATATGCTATTTTTTCTGGCCTAAGGATTTTTTTAAGTAAAGTTTCTACAGATGTTTCCTGGAAGCAAATGGACCCCTCTTGCCAAGGTTAAGAGAAGTTTGTTCTTTGCCTCTGTCAGCCTTGCATTAAGTTATCAGAGTTTTCTGATTGCTTTCTTTCATTTCCCAGTGGAGGTAAGAGTACTAGAAGAACCAATAGTTTCTCTGTCCTTTCAGCAAGCAGTGACTAAGAGACAAATCTTACTTTGGTAGGTAGCAGACAAATATAGGGAGATATTTACCTCTCCATATTTAGCACTAGTGCTGCTCCACCTGCTGACAGAAATGATTGGAAATCAAGTTTATTGAAGAAGTGACTGCTTGCTTCTCACTTCAGCTTTTTCATGCTTTTTTGAATCTTGCATAACTAGGAGAAGCTATTGAAGGGAGATAGTTCTCTGATCTGAGCTAAAGTGTATGTTGGGAGAAACTCTTTCTTGCTCCTTTATTTATCCTCCACGTATGAAGACCTGCTAGTTGAAGTGGGAACGGGTGGTTTGATGTGTGTGCTGTTCTGCAAGTCTAGATAGACCTAGCTGGTCATGCAGGCAGTCGCTGAGGGAGATGAAGTTCTAGGTTGAATTCAGACAACAGTATGGGATGAGAAATCCAGAGCCATGTAACGGATTTCTGTTGGGGTGCAATCCCTGCTTTCAGTGAATCTCTGTTGATGAGAAGTCATATATATACCAAGCCAGTGAGAACTGTTTTCTTTTGCCAAGTACAAAAAGCAAACCATCTCATGCTTCTGTAAGTCTTTAGGCCAACCACAGTGATAATTGCAGACTTGTGAACATCTACAGACTTATCTTTCC